ATCTTTAAAACCGATGATTTGTTGCCCTGCCCATCACCACCACGGCATTGATTTTGGCATAGATAATAACCTCATCGGGTTTCTATCCCATGAACAAAAAACAAAAAATGATGCGAAAAAAATAAAAAAACACAAACAGTCATGGAAACAGCGCTATTTTTATTTCTATCATCATATATTTTAAAATTGGAAACATGAATAATCATCCATTTAGACATCAATTTATATAACTATTTTAGAGAAAAAATATAAACTATTTTAAAGAAAAGGAAAAAACTCTACATACTAGTCAAAAGACATTCAATAAATATGGGGATATTATGGATATCAACGATAAATTTTAACCCAAAAAAATCATCACAAATTTTCGGAAAGAAAAACGGAAAATTCCGATAAATTGATATAATGAATTTGATGAAATTCCATAAAATCTCTCTTGCTTTTCTCCCAAAAAAAAAAAAAAAAACTATTTCCCCTCTCAACTTTTGCAACAAAAAAAAGTTAAAAACAAAAATGAAATGTTTCTAACAATTTATGAAGGATACATATGTCATAACAACCAAAATTTTCTATTCTATTGAAAGTAATTATTCACGAATCGCCATCCAAATTGAATTTTACAAAGCATCTTCTGTTCGTTTCACATGCACCTCTCAATCACTGCACATTTTTTAAGCCTTTCTCATCCAATTACATATACCAATGTCTTTCGTTATTCGCAATCGACGACACTTCTCATGTTTATTGAATATAATTATTGCTATACTCTCTCTCTCTCTCTCTCATTTCCGGAAGCTAATTGCTTTGTTTTCGGAACTCAACGGATCCATACTACCATCAGCCACATTATACTATCCGGTTTAAAGTCCGGAATAAAAAAGAAAAAGAAACGTCGATCGAGAAAAAAAACATAAAAGTATTAACATACTCCATGGATAAAAGTTTTGGCTATGACGGGCTGCATTAAATGTTTGCAGTGATTGTTGTTTGTGTGTATTCAGTTGTTGGGAGTTTGGATGGGGTGATTGGTGAAGGAAGCGTAAAGTTGCGCAAAGATTTTACTGTAACAATTTGTGGTATTTAACTTTCCTTTTCTAACTTTAACTTTTTAATTTAACTTTAACTTTCTGCCAAACTATAATACCTATTTTTTCGTACATTCGTGTATTAAATTCCTGTTACGTGAAAAAGTCAATCTATTGGCTGTATTTATTAGGCATGTTAAATATCAATATAATGGGAAAGAGACTGTTGATAGAATAAATGAATGTATCACTGAAATATATGGGCATAGGATAATTCGTATTGTCTTTGTCTGCTAAGATAGATTAGCCGAAATAGTTTGATGATGCTGACATCGTGAACCCTTTCACTATTCCGCATCCGGCGTAAGACCCGTGTGCTACTAACAGGAGATTGTTTTGCACATCTTTCAATATTAGCTAGCTTTATTTCAGCACGAAGTTGAAATGTGTTGTTAGTATTGGAATGTAATAGATTTAAACTTCAATTTCAAAATCATTTTGTGAAATCGTTTTCTACTTTAAATGCTTTTTTGTTAGCTGTTTTAATATTTTCGTAAGGAATAAATTGAATTTCACTTAAAGTAAGTGCTACATACTGTTATTGATTATTATGAAACTTTATTTTGAGAGTTTGACATTTTAGGATGTTTATTTTAACAGTTGTATTTTAACCAATTGCTAAATAGAAATTTTACGATTAATATTTTTTAAAAATTTCATTGTTAAGTCCTATAATAAGTTTGAAATCTTGTTGTTTTTCAACCTTGTCACTAGTTTACTAGAATCAACTTAAAAAGTAAGTTGCGGTAGTGGCGTTTATTGGCCATTTACAATGACAAAGGAACTACTGATTATGGTTCAGAAATACGAGTCCAGAAAATATTTTTACTGACCTAGTTTTGCTCACCGGATGGCTGCAAGCGGTTTTGCTTCCTCCATACTGAGTAAAATTCATGAAATTGTTAGTGGTGGCGCAGTTTCTATTTTGCACAATTACAACGGACGGAATGATGCGGTGGCTGGACCCTCCAATATGATGCAAGTTCAGGTATTGACAACTGTTATTTGTAATTTCTTTATCCAGTTTTATGCATTTTCTTTTTGCGGAAATTCTCACTTTTCTCCTCTTCGAATTGATTTTTATTCTATATTTTATTTTGATAGAGAAGAATAGCTTCACAATCTTTTTTTTTGTAGTAGAATCTCGATACTAAAAATTATAGGGATTTCGACTTTGGCCCAACAGTATTGTATTTCAAAAAAAATCATTTTGATTAAGTTTTTGGTTTCGATAAAATTTTTTTTTTATGAAATAGTTCTTCCAAAAATTTTTGGTTTTGTACAGTTTTACATGCAAATAAATGTTATCATGATTACAGGATCGTCGTTTGGTTGAAAAAACGTTTAAATTAATGGATAATGTCGTCAAACATTGTCAGCAGCCGCGTCTGAATCTTAAAAATTCACCACCTTTTATACTTGATATACTTCCTGACACTTATCACCAGTTATCCACTATCATATCCAAGAACCCGAATGTGTTAAAAGATAATACATATTTAGTACTGTTCCTGGAGAATGTGCAGTCAAAATGCAAGCAGGTTCTTATATGAATGTTATTCTGTGTTAAATAAAACGTAGTTAAATGAAACATATGAAACGTTGTTTATTTTAATTTAAATACTTATAAATAATTATTTTAGATTCTTTTCTTACAGACAATGAAATTATTTAAAGAAGATCGTGAAAGGATTTACGATGAAAGATCGGGAGCACGACGTAATCTTACCAAGCTTTCACTAATCTTTTCTCATATGTTAGCAGAGCTGAAAGCTGAGTTTCCAGATGGGCATTTTATTGGTGAAAACTTTCGTATCACCAAAAAAGAAGCTGATGCATTTTGGAAGGAATCATTTGGCATAAAGTAACCATTTTGTGTAATATTAGTAAAAAAAAAAGTAGACTCGTGCATGTTAGAAATTTCACAATGCTGTAACAGAGTTATATTTGTATGAAATCGAACGCAAAACGCAAATATCGAATTTTTTAGGGCCACCGTACCATGGTTCGAATTTCGTATCGCGTTAAGCAAAGTGCATAGACTTAATACCGGTTTAGAAACTCTTGCTTTGAAGACTACAATTGATCTTACCGTTAATGAGCATATTTCAAACTTCGAATTTGATGTATTTACAAGGTTTGGCTTTTTTTCTTGTATTTGTACTGATTGCTCATATAAGGTCTTTTTAATAAGGGAGGTTTTATCTGAAAGGTTGAGTTCCAGACTTTTCCAACCGTGGAATACACTACTGCACAACTGGCAGCTACTTGCAGTGACTCATCCCGGATATGTTGCTTTTCTGACATATGATGAAGTAAAGCAGAAGCTTCAGAAATATAGCAACAAGCCCGGAAGGTTTGTTATTTATTTCAAGGTGTAGCGTTAATTCTATCGATAGATATTTCGAAATGGGAGTATCTATGCTTACTTGAGTACTTGTTTGTTTTCCAGCTATGTATTCCGTCTGAGCTGTACACGTCTTGGACAGTGGGCTGTTGGTTATGTTGCTCCTGATGGTAAAATTTATCAAACTATACCACAGAACAAATCACTCATACAAGCCTTGGTTGATGGAAGCCGAGAGGGATTGTAAGTTCTTATGTAAAACTTATTCGATTGACATTGTATGAAGCTATCAGTTTAGCTTTGTATTTTTTTCACTGGTATCAGGCTTGGGATATAATTTTTGAGCAAAACGTTTTGCGCTGTTTTTAAAATCTGTCTTTTGGACTATTTGGATTTTTCATTATGTGCCTTTTTAGTTACCGTTTTCCGGATGGAAGACCAACCAATCCAGACTTAAGTCATGCCTTACAGCCAAGTCCAGAAGGTCGTGTTAAGGTCAGCGATATCATTAAAATTATTTATTTTGGGATGATCAAAATTTTGATTATTATCTAAATAATAGTTTGGATTTTTAGGTGACTCCAGAGCAGTATCAAATTTATTGTGAAATGGGTACTACATTTGAAATGTGCAAAATTTGTGCAGAAAATAACAAAAATGTCAAATTGGAACCATGTGGCCATTTACTTTGCACACCTTGTTTGCAGAGCTGGCAGGTTAATATTTTCTCAACGTTTTAGCGAATAATCCAAGTATGATGTATGTTTTTAATAATTATGAGAACAAGTGATACATCAAGTATTCTCACTGATTTTAATATAAAATCTTATTCATTTTTCAAAAAAAATCGGTTTTAACTTTTTTTATTGAATGATATTTGTTGTCGTTTGCTCCTATACTATATCCGTTACCCCCAGTACACGCTTTCATTCCTGATATATGTACTACGTTTTGGATTTTGTAGGAATCGGATGGTGGTGGTACATGTCCCTTTTGTCGATGTGAAATCAAAGGTACGGAGCGAATCATCATTGACTCATTTGATCCGATAGAAGCTAATAAAAAACTCGGTTATGAGACGATTATTGAAAAAAATACTGTTAAAAGTGTAGTAAGTCATCTTCATGCTTTTTTAAAATGTAAATTTATTATGAATAGACTCTTATTCGCTGTTTGTCATCTTCTTTTATCCGCGTCGGATTTTATCGAAATTTAGAATTATTTCAAGCTAAAAGTGTAAAATAATTGTTGAAATGATTTTATTTTAGCGGCAGTCATGGCCTCCAAGAAGTGAAGCTGTGCCTCCTCGACGAGCTCCTCCATTACCTCCTCGCTATGATTCATCATCAGCTGGCAATAGTCCATCTGTAACACACAAGCAGCTAACTTTTGATGCTCCTGTAGCAAGCAACATATCAACCTATAATGAAGAAAAACTTGAGAAAACTGGAAATGTTTGCTTTTTTCTTTAAATTTTCGAGAAAACCGTTAAATGAACATAAATAAGCAGGGAAATTTCCGAAAGATTTCCTTCATAAGGCATCATGAGGGATCTGCTGGTATCAAATTTGCTTTTGAACGTGTTAAATTTATATTTTTATGCTTATAAAAATTTAGCAGGTTCTTGAGCCACGATAGGGAATACATCTAGAATAAAGCGTGATTACAGGATACGATAGCAAGTAGCGTTTCACAGTTGAAAGTGTTAGCACCAACAACGGCAGAGGGATCATCTTACGTGAATGTGGTAACTTCCGGCGGGAAGTCAAATTATGAAGGATTACAATATGTGAACACTGCTGTGATCAATGGTCAAACATAGGTCACTAAAGATTATTGCTTTTAGACTTATTATCCAGCATTGCATGGGATTTGTTTGATGATAACATGTTAGTTCGAGTTCATGATTTCGTGCTGTTTTTTACAAGTTATTTCTCTGAATATGATTGTAAATCTTGCGTCAAGAAACCTATTACTCTCAGATATTATAGCCAACCTAATACACTATATCGTATGTAAAGATGTAAAAATTAATTTTCATATAAAATACCATAATTTCTGTATATTAGAATTGATTTGCATGTGTAAACCGGTTCCATTTTCTACAAAAAATTACTTTTTCATGTTACTTCAAATTTTTTTCCAGCTGCTCAAATATCGCTGTGCATTATAGTTTTTTATATGTTCAACATACGTTGAATAATTCTACCAGTAAGTTCCAAGCGCAACAGTTTTGTTCATATATTGTAATTTGTTTGATAACTAATTATGTATTATACTTATTGACTACTCTTTTCTTTCACTGTTAACTTAATAGTGGAAGTGAAGTAATAATTTATAGTAGCGAAGTTTGTCTTTTATTTATCTTCCTATATTTTAAGCGTTTTTTTTTTTCATTTGCTTGCACATAACAATTAAAAGAACAATTTTCATCAAATTAAAGAATAGTACAAACACAGATTAACATTGTTGCAGAAATCTTGCGAGCAAAATACTACCTTGTTTTGATCTACTAGGCAGGAGAATTTGTCATCCTTTTTATTTGACTGTGTAACTGCTTTCCTTGATGTAAAATACTTTAAAACTACTTGTCATTACAATATTCACCTGTTTTCTTTTTCCCTTATTGCTCTATTATTTTAGCCTTGTTAATCATGATGGTCTTTCAACTTTTTTCTTCCCGATTATTTAATCTGGAATTTGGTCATTTCAGTGTTTTCTTTTTCCTCTATGCACTTTTGATCTAAGCTATTGTTTTTTTTTTTTTTGCTGATTTCGTTATTCATTCCGGTCTAAGAATTATAAACGGACACTTGCAAGACTATTTCTTTACTATTAGCTTTATGCAAAAATTGTATAAGTTCGTATTCATTATTTATTTCCACTTTTAATTAGATAACATTCACTTAACAAACTTTCCAAGAGAAACGGTCTAATCCAGAATATGTTTTGTCCACTGATTGGAAGTCTTTTTAACAATATCTATACATTATTAGTACGTTTATCCAGCACTTTGGAATTAGTTCCATTTTTTTGAAGGAAGATTAAAATTTATTTGAATTTCAAATGTTGAACATACCGAAATTGGATGGATCACTTTCATTTCTAGAATCAAAAGTTTTCGTTTTTTGTTATATTTAATTCTTTCAGTAAAATTTGTTAATTAATTTGATCATTGTGCTGCATATCTGGATGATCCTACAGACTTTTACTGGGACTTACCTCCTGGATGTTGCCGTGGATTTCTTGTTTCTTATTTTAGTTTCTTCCATCTGCAACTCAGAAGTGAAAATGATATAAAAATATTAGCTACTTCTTTTTACTGCTCACTGCCTATTTCATTTTAGAATTTTCTGTGGTTCACAGTGTATTTATTACTCATGTATTTTGTTAATATCAAATAAATCTTATTCGTTTCCGATATAATAATTGCATATTTTTGCGTTTGTACTGAAAGACCAAAGAGATTAAAAATACCAAGTGGACAGCTAAATAATGGAGATCCTGACCTGACTGAGTGGTCACTAGATAGGTATTTGTTTTTCCGGTCAGGTGTTTGGTTAATTAGGTTTTATTATCTTGCTTGTTAATGAAATTTAACTTGTTTTATTGTTTCCAAAGAATGTTTGAGCTGTTTGTGGGGGTGGAATTTCTATCAAAGATTTGTTGAAGATGAAAACACTACGGTTTGATGTTGCAATGAATCAATATCCTTGCATTTAATATTTTAAGAATCAACGAAAATGGAAAAATGAAGGAAATCAACATTATAAATAACAGCTACGAAAATGGATAAAAGAAATGGACAAAATTCATGTTTTCGATTAATGAATCACCGTCCAATATGGATCGGTCGATCTTCAATCTCGAATTCGGCGGTTGCTGCTCGTGAACCCTTATGCTTATGTGATCCAAGAGCAAATGCCAAAGCGGCGAATACGTAAATAAGCACACATGTCCAAGCTAAATATGTGGGTAAACCCGTTGTTTGACCCACTGAATAATCCCATTCTATATTCTGCAACATTATTTTCATAATGTTTTGAAAATTTTCAAATAGCACTTTTGTTCAGAAATATGCTCATTCTCATCAACTCTGTCATGGATTTTTTTTCAAACCACAATTAATTTCTTATTACGAGTCAAACAGTATATTGCCTTTTTGAAAAGACTCCTAATATTGGATAATTGCACTAAAAGTGGTTCTAACATTTTTAAATTTTTTAGTACAATAAATTGTTAATTTGGATGATGTAATTTCCGGAATTTAATTAAAGATATCATCATAAACAGTGAAGTATTTGGATGTTGTTCTGTTAATTTCTTAATCATATCATATGAGAATGCAAAGTTTGAAGTTTTAAATAAAATTAGTTGATTCAACAGGTATATTTGGATATACATTTTTGATCGCTTTATAAAATAAACTATTCCAATAACTTCATTCTTCTAATATTCAAAGAAAAATTTATGAAATATTTGGTTTTCTGGAATATGGGATATTTTAAATTTTGTCCCAATTTTTAATATTTCAAATATTTGCGTAGAATGGTGCTTTTTATCCACAAGTGATTATTTTTGTTTTTATTCCCTACACATTAATCAAGTCAAAAAAATATCTAAAAGAGAAAATCCAAAGAGTAGAAAAGCAAAATATTTAGAAAACTTTCCATATATAAAAAAATTCCGCAAAAATTTTTGATAATATTTAAAGAAACATCTGAATATTCATAATTCATAATTTCATTCAA